TTCCTATAATACAGTTTATTCTTCCTATCCTCTCTAGTTATATCAGGCTGAAGCTTAACACTGCATGCAATACAAAAAGCCCTTAAAAGTTTGTTTTTAAGCAGGCAGTCTTCAGCTCAGCGCACGTCATTTGGTGACTGTTCGAAGTTGCAACGGCACTAAAAAAAAATATGACAATTTTTCATATTTGTAACCTTTGCGGCATATCCCCCTGGTTTTAAGTGATCAAAATTCAGACGCTCGGCAACTTAAGACACGTTTAGCGTCCCGGGGTCATGTTACCCTCCTGCCAAGCTAGGGAAGCTGGGTTCGTTTAAGAACCGTGCCGCTAACTTAAAACAGTCCCAGCGATTCGCTTGAGAACTTGTGGCCAGAAAAGTCGTAAAACTGGGCAGAATTCACTTTTAATGACGGTCTCGCTTGGCGACAGAAATCTGGGCCGACCTTGCGATCGTAAATTGAGGGCTGCCTGCCCTGAATCAATCTGAACCCAATTCTGTTTTTCTCCACCCGTAAGCGATTGCTTAAAATGTTAATAATAAGAAGAATAAGAATAAAGTTGGAAGGGACCTTGGAGGTCATCTAGTCCAGCCCCCTGCTCAGACAGGAAACCCTAGACTATTTCGGACAAATGGCTGTCCAGTCTCTTCTTAAAAACCTCCAGTGTTGGAGCATAAATAGAATAGAATAGAATAGAATAGAAACAGAGTTGGAAGGGACCTTGGAGGTCATCTAGTCCAACCCCCTGCTCAGGCAGGAAACCCTAGACCATTTCGGACAAATGGCTGTCCAGTCTCTTCTTAAAATCTTCCAGTGTTGGAGCATGAATAGAATAGAACAGAACAGAAACAGAATTGGAAGGCACCTTGGAGGTCAACTAGTCCAACCCCCTGCTCAGGCAGGAAACCCTAGACCATTTCGGACAAATGGCTGTCCAGTCTCTTCTTAAAATCTTCCAGTGTTGGAGCATTCACCGCTTTTGGACGCAGAGGCAATCTCCAGCTTTGTGCTGGGAGCTGTTTTTATGCCGGGATTCCGAGGAAACCGTGAGCAAATGTGATGACTGCCATCTCCAAGTGCCCATAAGCCACAACTAAGTGAGGGAGGGTCTTCTTGAGATAGCAGTGCCTTCCTCTTTCATCATCTGCAAAACCGTTTTATGAGGTCCTTAGAAGGGCGAGGGTTATACCGTTCAGACGGACAGTTGCTGGTTTCAAATATGCATTTAAACAGGCAGGAGATGAATCCATGGAGGCGATTACAAACCATGGTTTAGTGATGATTCATTGTCGGAACTATGACACGAACGGAGCTGCACGTGAACGGGGCCGCGCGCACCCACATAGCACTAGCGGCCCGTTTGTGCATGCACGCGGGTGCTAGCCACACCCACTGCTAGCACCCACTCACATGCGCAAATGGGTCGTGCAACCCGCACAGCAGTAGCGGTCCCATTTGTGCATGCATGCAGGCGCTAGCCACCGCAGCTAGCAACTGTGAACATGCGAAAATGGGCCACGCAGCCCGCACAGCAGGAGCGGCCCCATTTGTGCATGCATGCAGGCGCTAGCCGCCACTGCTAGCAACCGTGCACGTGTGCAAATGGGCAGTGTAACTCCCACGCACGCTAGTGGCCCCATTTGCACACTGCTAGCCCCGCGCACGTGCGCAAACGGGTCTGCAGGTGCTAGTGTGAGTAGGAATGAGTGTGCGCACACATGCGTGCACTGGCCAGCCTGTCCCGGAGCCCAATGGCCAGTAGGCCAGGGCCTGGTAGTGGGCCACGGCCCATAGTTTGGGGACCCCTGTAATAGTGACAAAGTTCACATGTGCAACATTTCTGGATAATCCCCTGCTCTCCAAGGGGATTATCTCCTTGGAGGAGATAATATGCTCCTATCCTGCATGGGTGCTTCCCAAAGTGAACTTGATCACGGTGGAAAGCAAGGACGCTGGGTTCTTAGATTCCTTTCTAGTCAAGTGATCAATTGGATCAACTGGTATGCGCACGAATCCAGGGTGTCCAGCCTTGGCAACGTTCAGATTTGTGGACTTCAACTCCCAGAATTCCTCAGTCAGCAGGGATAGTAGTAGTAGTAGTAGTAGTAGTAATAATAATAATAATAATAATAATAATAATAATAATAATAATAATAATAGTACAGTTGAAAGGGACCTTGGAGGTCATCTAGTCCAACTCCCTGCTCAGGCAGGAAACGTTCCATCCTTCGACGATATCTGTAATACCATCAAACATCCACATCTGCCTATCCCAGGTCCTTGGGAAGGACTCGATAGGTAGACAAAAATGCCAGATCCAGTCTGAACATCTGGCTGACTGTGCGATGATCCATAATAATAATAAAGTTGAAAGGGACCTTGGAGGTCATCTAGTCCAACCCCCTGCTCAGGCAGGAAACCCTATACCATGTCTGGGGAATTCTGGGAGTCTAAAGTCGACAGGCTTTAAAGTTGCCAAGTTGGGCATCCCTGCTTTTTAAAATATATATATATATATATATTGATTTTCCAGTTTTACATTTACATATTTTTAAAGCAACCTGACGGCTGGGTTGGTTCATAATTCAATAACATACACATTTCTTTAGTACAGATCACAAACATTAAATATTTCCTCTCTTTTTCCCTTAGTGTTTACGGGCTCACCTTTTCAGTTAATACAGTTCTTATTCCGTCCATTTGATACAAATAGCTTTCTTACCTTAATCAATGTTTTTTTAGTTTAGACACATCTCAGTCATTTTTAACATTCAATCTTTTCAGACAATCCATGCCCCTGCTTTAAGTGCTTCGGGCTTCTTAACAAGCACATAAGTCCTCTAACAGAATACTTTATGCTTCTGATCAAGAAACGCGTGTGATCATGGAACCTGGAGTAAATTTAAATAAACAGAAAAACTCCACCTTCCTGTTGAGGACCATCTTAAGCTGAGGATTGATTCCACAAATGGGTTTCTGAACCTCAAAGTGATTGATGGCTTATACCAGTGTTTCTCAACCTTGACAATTTTAAGGCATGTGGACTTCAACTCCCAGAATTCCACAGCCAGCAATGCTGGCTGTGAAATTCTGGGAGTTGAAGTCCACATGCCTTAAAATTGTCAAGGTTGAGAAACACTGGCTTATACTGATGGGATGATTTGGGTGTTGGGTGAGGATTAGGAAGTCTCAAGTGTACATTAAGTAACGTTGGGAATAAAAAAAGGATAAAGGATTCCTCCGTCCAGTGATGTCCGACTCTAGGGGACGTTGCTTATCTCCATTTCTCATTTTCCAAAGACACTTCCGTGGTCGTGCGGCCGGCGTGACTATACACCAAAGTGCACGGAACGCTGTTACCTTTCCCACTGAAGTAGTACCTATTTATCTACTCGCACTTGCGTGCTTTCGAACTGCTAGGAGCTGAGCCAAGGAACAGGAGCTCATCCCGTCACGTGGCGCTCGGGTCTCAAACACGGGCTGCCGGCTTCCTAGCTGACAAGTTCAGCGTCTTTAACCGCTGAGCCGTGGCAGCCCTTGAGAATAAAAACCGTCCCTCGGCCCAATTCCCTTTATAGTGGTGTTTCTCAACCTTGACAATTTTAAGGCATGTGGACTTCAACTCCCAGAATTCCACAGCCAGCATTGCTGGCTGTGGAATTCTGGGAGTTGAAGTCCACATGCCTTAAAATTGTCAAGGTTGAGAAACACTGCTTTATAGGATTGTTCTGGAAATAAAACCGGAGGGGGAAAAAAAAAAAGAGTACGGTATTCCATTGGGAATTCCCGGAGAATAGCGTGCATCCAAATAGACTTTCGCGAAATTTTTGGATTTGGGTTCAGATAGGATCGCTAGAATTGGGCAACCCAGATTATCTCCATGCTTGCAATGCTCACTCCGTTCGTTCGCTTCCCTGATACACGGAGATGTCCCTGGTGACCTAACAGCAATTGCTTCCAAATGAGCAAACTGTGGTTATTTTTTTCCCCTTTTTTTGCAAACTATAGTTTAATAAGCCCATTTCAAACCGAAGTTTCCAGTTCTAATTTTTGAAGTAAACTAGGACAAATGGGAAGATAATTTCTGGGCACATTCCCGGAAGCGAAAAGATGCAGAAGAGAAGAACGCATAGAACTTAGAACATATTTCTCAGAGCGAATTTGGCCATATCTGAATTGGACCCATTTAATTTCTCCCCTTCTTCTGCATCAACAGATCATTGTTAGCAGCCCAGCTAATTTGGAACAGGCCTGTTGTGTGTTCCGCTTCAGAATTTCACCTGCAATTCTATTTTACAGTCCTTCCATTCTAAACAACAAATACTTGGGGGTGGGGGGGGTGGGGAAATGGGATCAGATTATTTTGTCAGCATGCGTAGATGGATGCCCTCAAAAATGACGATTTGCTCATTGTCCTTCAAGACTCTGTAAAATGTCAGATTGACTGCATGACGTGTTGAATATCGGGGTTCCATTTTTCTACACGTAACAATCCGAAACCAAAATAGCCTGCAGGATAGTCACGTATCAGAATACGTTCAGTATAGACACGTTTGAAATGTATTAAATTTCACCACCCCGTTTTCCAAACAAATATGCCTACACCTTCTTTTTTTTCCCTTTTTTTTTTGGGATAGAAATCATCTAATTATCTAATTCCCGTGACAGAATTAGGGATCTGCGGTTTGATGGAAAGGATAACGTTGCCTTGTTTCATGTATTCATTTCCTAACTTTTTACGTTGAGCATTTTATTCATGTATATATATGCTGGGTATATATATATATCATTGCAACAGCTCGTGTCGGCGTTCTGTTTATTTCGAAATGCTCGTGTCAAACTGCAGTCGATCTTTCCTGCGTGGGATCACTGATCTCTGTACCTTTCCTTTCCTTTCCAGATGGACCTCCGGTCGTGCCCCACTACGACATCTCAGACACAAACTCGGACCCCGAAGTGGTGAACGTGGACAATCTTTTAGCAGCCGCAGCCGTTCAAGAGCACAACAGTTCGGTCGTTAACCAGGACGCGGAGCCAACGTGGAGGTCCAGGGGTCTTCTAGAAGAGCTGAATGCTGAGACAAGTGGGTAGAACGCATTGCACGGGTCTTGCTGGGATCATAAGTATCACGATTATAAGCATTATAATAGTATAAGTATCAGTACCGCTTTATCAAACCCTAGTGAGGCCACACCTGGAATAGTACAGCCAGTTTTGATCACAGTATCACAAACAAGATGTTGAGAGTTTGGAAAAAGTTCAGAGAAGAGCAACTAGGATGATGCAAGGCCTGGAGACCAAAACATACAAAGAACGGCTGCAGGACTTGGGTTTGGCTAGTCTAAA